TAACCGGGGGAGCCTGGTCGGCCTTGGGTGCGAGCATGCCGACGTAGGTGCAGCGCCAAACGCACGGGCGTTTGTTGATACGCCGGACGTCAATAAAATCGAACGCTCCTGATCCGTGGAGGGGAAGGTGACAAGAGCGAGGAGACTGGCACGGACCAGGGGGAGACATCTGCCAAAGACACGTCTGCCTGTCCGCGGAAATGCTAAAACACCTCTTACAACTCAACACTCAGACAACACCCCCCTGGCGGGTAAATGGCCAGAAGCCTGGACAGGCACCCCCCCCCCCCAGGGGCGCGCAGGCGGCGAAGAGCGCACCCTGGCTCCGACGCCCGACGTGGCGGGAGGGGAGCCCACGGGGCTCTCTCGCTGCGGCGGTGGCGGCACCTCGGGGGGGGCCCACACGCCGTGCGCAAGGCGTCCCCCCGGGGACTGCGACTGTGATGCGGGAGGCTGTCCTCTTTTTTATTTTATTGTATTGTATTTTATCCTCGCCCAAGGACATGTTTCCATTGCTTTAGTGAGAAAGGAGGAGGTGCGGGCAGAGAGAGAGAGACATCGGTGTGAGAGAGAAGCACTGATTGGTTGCCTCCTGTACACACCTGGGCCGGGACTCGAACCTGCCGCCTTTTGGTTATGGGACGATGCGACGATGCTCCAACCGACGGGGCCACGCTGGCCAGGGCTGTCCTCCCCTTTAACGTAGGTGGACTGCTCCCCCCTGTAAGGGCCTGCGCCCTGCCCGGCGGGCACCCCACAGCCGAATGTGCATGGATGGCGCCCTGCTGCCCCAGGGTGGGGGCCCTGGGGCTCGACGAGGGGTCCTCACGTTTGGGGGGACGGATGGGGCCGTGGACACATTCAGCCCTTGTGCTGACGTGGCAGGAGCTATGTGACTTCCCCACTTTGGTACGAAGGGCATGACTTCAGTGTGGGGACCGCCCAGCCTTGGGACAAAGTGACATCATTCCCCCGTGAGCCCTAAGGCAGCACAGCCAAACACCGTTTTGTTTTCCCCGGGTTAAAAACAACTTCCCTTGGAAGTTGCAGCGTTCCCTCCCTTTGAAACCGGGCTTTGCCCTTGACCCTGGCATCGTCTTCCAGGGCACGATTGCCCAATTCCCGCCGCTGGCCAGCGAGCAGCAGGCCGGGGGTGGCCAGAGCTGGGGGCAGTGGGAGCCGGCAGGCCCCTCAGGGTCGCAGCCCCGAGCCCCGCCTCTGCGAGGAGCGGCCGGCGCGGTGTGGCCGGCGCGGCGACTGTCCCAGGGTGGCGTAGTCCCACTTCCCAGGTGGGAAGGCTGAGGCCTGGAGGCACTGGGTCCAGGCCCGGCCCAGGCCGTCCTGCCGGGACCCACCTTCGGGGCTCCCGGCCTGGGCTCAGCTCCTCAGCCGCCGCGGCGCCCCCTCCAGGGTGGGTTTGCTGTGAAGTGTCCTGAGGTGGTTGTGCCCCATGGGACAGCAGCGGGGACTCTGTTTTTCTGAGTGGGGACAGTGGTTTCCTTCTTCTGCAGGTGGAGCCCTCACGGGGGAGGAGCTGATGGGACACAGGGTCCACCTGCGGTGCTCCCTGAAAACTTCCCTGTGACCCAATGTCCCCCTGCCCCCCAAGGGCCCCTGAGCTCACAGGCCCCAGGGCCCCCACCTCAGACACCGGCCGCTCGGACTGGGGGAGGCTGGCGGCTCAGCTCCGCCTCCTGAGAACGGCCTGGGGGCCCCCCCCCCCGCCACCCCGGCCAGTGCAGTGTGCCGCCAGTCCACACGGGGTCCCCACTCTCCGCACCAGGCCAGGGCGCCTGGCCCTCGATCCCACTGGCTGGTCGCATGCACGGTGTGCCTACCAGTGGCCCGGCACACGGTGCTGGGCGAGGGCAGCTGTGAGCCCACCCAGCCCGGCGGGAGACACGGGCTGACGTAGGCTGAGGCTGCTCCGCGCGCGCGGCGCTGACCCCGCCCGGCCCAGGCTTCGGGAAGCAGAGGGGGCACCTCAGTCTCCCTGGGAGGCACTGGGAAGGCTCCAGAGGGGAGGACGGCCAGTGGATCCTGGGGCAAGCGGGGCAGAGGGAGCTCGGGGGGTCCTGAAGGCGCGGGGATGCGGCGGAGCCCCGGCCAGGAGCTCGCGGGGGCACGACCGTGCGGGGGGCCCCACGGCCCTGGGCCTCCGCTGAGCTGCTCCGGCCTCCCCTCCGTCTCCACGCCAGGGTGGCCCATCGCCCACCCGACCTCCGACCCCTGCTGGTCCTGGCCACACGGGGACCGCCCCCTCCGCCTCCCGCCCTGCTGTCCCTCCCTCCCTCAGGGCGCTTACCCCAGGCCGCCTTCGGGGGTTGGAGTATTTGTGACTGGTTTTCTGCCTCTAGGCCTTGGAGGGCAGGGCGAACTCCTGTGAACGGCCGCCCAGCTCTGCCCCGGGTCCGGCCAGCGCCAGGCCCGAGGGGCTCCAGGATAGGGGGTCTCCTCACGGGTCTCCGTCGCCAGGCCCGGGGCCGGCGATCGTCCAAGGGCGCCCCCCTGCCCGCTGGCTGGGCCAGGCCTGTGCCCCTCCGGGGTGGCGGGCTGCCTACGGGCAGGCCCAAAGCCCCGCCCCCACCCCCGGCCGTCCCTCCAGCTTCCAGGCAGGACGAACCCGGGCGGTCCCCGAACACGCCTCCCTCTCCCCAGCTCCCCGTCCTCCCTGCGGCTGGCTGCCCGCCCTCCCACAGGCTCCCCGCCTGGCCTGGCCTGCTGGCTGCTGCTGCTCCCCACCGCGCCCGGCCCTCCTCCGCTGAAGCTCTCAGCGCGAGTTCCCACGCCGCGGCGCCGCGGCCAGTCTGGACCTCCCATGCCGCAGCTCTGTGCCTGCACCACCCCGGGGCCGCTCGACCGCTCTCCCCCGACGCGGGACGGAAGGCACAGGCCGCACTCAGGCCGGCCCTGGGCGGAAGGCGGCCGGGGCCCTCATTCTGACGGGCAGTGTGGCAGGGGATGCGGGCAGAGCCTGGGAGGCGCAAGAAGGACAGAGATGGCAGAGTCGAGAGATGGGGCCGGTGGAGAGGCGTGGGCGGCAGGGAGACCTGGGGCGGGGACGTTGAGGCTGGACACTGAGCAGGAGTCCACGGCGCTGGGACCAGGGGACCGCGGTGAGGCTCCAGCGCGAGCCCCGCCCCCTACCCAGGCCGCCCTGGGAGCCAGACCCCGGGGGCCTGGGTTCAGGGTGGTCCCAGAAACGACCACAACCTCGGCCACCTCCCTGAGACTCAGCCCGCCGCGGGGAGGCCGCTGACCCCACAGGGCAGACGGACAAGTGGCCCACATTTGTGTGTGGGTCAGAGGAGGGGACGGCAGGGTCAGGTCTGGGGCCGCTTGCCATGCTGCTGCATGAGGCAAGGCGTGCAGACGTTGGGCAATCGACCCCCAGACAGGCAGTTCCCCGGTGTGAGGGGGCTACCTCCCGGCACATGCGTCAGAGAGTGACAAACTGCCAGGCACACTGTAGGTGCGCCCTGTTGCCAGGAAGAAAACATTTCTGGGGACACTGACTGCATGTTGAGGAAGCGGGGGCAGGGGCGGGGACGCGGGGCGCAGTCTTCTGGAACCGAAGCCACGCAGGAGCCCAGCAACCTGCCGGAAAGCCCCCGTCCCCGCCTCTGCCGGCGCCGGACTTCGCTCTGGAAAAATAGTGACGAACATGACCCTGGACTTCCAACTGTCATTTCTTCCATGACCTTATTTTGATTGTTGCTGGGGAGAGGCCGTGACCTGTTGTTGACGAACCCGAGGCCCAGGTGGCCGGGGCCCAGCAAGGAGTTTGTGCGTTGGCCCGGCTGTTCCCGCGGTGGGGAGTCTAAGTCCCTGACCATACGAAGCGTGGCACCGCCGGGTCACGCCACCCCAGGGGGCTCAGCACTGTGCAGGGGCGCCCGCCTCTGCGCCTCCCCACCCCCGTCGTGCCCCCTGCCCCCCCGGAGGCGCTGATAGCGGTTCCTCCCCTGTTTTTCTTGCCCTTCACTCGCCCCCAACAAAAGTGACATGTGCATTCGTAGTTTGTCTTGTTCACACCCTTGGAGATTTTACTTCCCCTGTGTAACGAATCGGGGAGACTTTCTCCGCCCGCCAACGCGGAGCTGCTGCTCCCAGCGGCCGGGCCCGGCGGAAGCACCTGCTGCTCCCGGGACGGCGGGGCGTTCCTTGCTCTCTCTCAAGCCGCAGTGACACTTGTCTTGCCACCGAGGAGAAGGGCCAAGAGCCAGGAATGTTACCTAGAGAGAAGGCCTTGGCATCTCACTCCTGATGAGCCTTTGGTCGGAGCCGGGCAGGCAGAGGTGGCCTGGGCCCAACGTGGCCCCGGGCCCCAGGCCCCAGGCCGCTCCTCCCTGGAGGTGCAGTGTGTGCGCTGCGGGAGACTGAGGACATCAGGCTCCTGGGGTGGGCGGGCTGTCCTCCCTCCCTCCTGGGAAAGGCTGGGAGACCGCAGTGCGGGGCCGGGGGCCTGCTGCCTACAGAAGGAAAGCGCTCCAGGGCTTGGCCACCAAGGGTGGCCAGGCCAGCACACACCTTGGTCCTCCTGTGCTCTCCCTGGGCCTTTGTTTCCCCATTTGAAACTGGGGTGTGTGTGTGGGGGGGGCGCGGGCCCTGCCCTCTGATGTCGCGGGCTTCCCGTGGCTCAGCCTGGGCTGCCCGTGGACAAATCAAGCAGCGCCCTCCTCCAGCTGGTCAGACCCGCACTTTGGCACCAGGCAGGGACCCCATAACAACAGGATGAGCACCGCACGGCCTGGACGCTGCCGCTCCTTCCGCCCACGCCTGGCACAGGGCCTCAGCGCAGGAGCAAAACAAACTTATTTTGAACACAGTCCTCTAGCACGCCGCTCTGCCAATCATTAACCTCCGGGGACAGGTGACCTGGCCCCGCGCCCTTCATAAGGCGCGCGCGGCGCCCAGCGAGCAGCCAGCGCCCAGCGAGCCGCGAGCACCGGTCTTTGTGCGCCACCGCCCAGCGCCCAGCCAGCAGAGCACGCCGGCCCGTCTGCCGCGCCGCCCGACGATGCCCGCCGCCCCCGCCGCCCTCGCCTGGCTGCTCCTCCTGTCGGTTGTGCAGCTCGGCGCCGCCGTCGGCGCTCCCCAGCCGTGGCACTGTGCGCCCTGCTCCGCCGAGAGGCTCGCGCTCTGCCCGCCCCTGCCCGCCTCCTGCCCTGAGCCCGCCCGGCCCGCCGGCTGCGGCTGCTGCCCGATGTGCGCCCTGCCGCTGGGCGCCGCCTGCGGCGTGGCCACGGCGCGCTGCGCCGGCGGACTCAGCTGCCGCGCTCTGCCCGGGGAGCCGCGGCCCCTGCAGGCCCTCACCCGCGGCCGCGGCGCCTGCATGCCTGAGTCTGACAGCGCCGAGGCCACAGGTACCGCAGCTCCTCCGCCGGGTCCCCTCCCCTGGGACGGCTGAGCGAGCCTGGGGCCAAGAGCAGGGGCTCCACCAAAGCCTGTAGCCAGCGGGGCGTAAACCCGCCCAGGCCCAGGGCTGGGGGCGGAAGCCTGCAAGGCGCCCCTCACTGCGTGGCCCTGGGGGCGGTGCCCAGGGGCAGGGAGGGGAGACGGGGAGAGAGCCCAGAGCCCCTCAGCCCACCCGGTGGTGAGGGTGCAAAGGCAGCGGGGCGCCCGGGGCCCCTGGCCCTCCTCCCCGTGGGGCCTGGGGATGGGAGCCCCCGCTGCCCATGGCCCCCTGCGCTTGGAATGTCCATTGTAATATACGTCCTGTGGGGACGGCCTGTGCTTCCCAGATGTTTACAGAACATACTGTGAGCGTTTAGGCTGAAAACGCCAGGCATTCCAGGACGCAGCGTTTGATGTGCCTGCAGCCGCACTGCCTGGCCCTCGCGCCCTTTCCTGAAGGCGCAGGGATTTGTTTGTGGTGGGAAACAGGAAGGCCTCCTCCCCCCACTCCAGACCTCCCGACCTGCTGGTCCCACCGGGATCCCCACGGAGGGGACTCGGGATCCAGGAGCTTTCCCGCGGGTTTTGTGTCCCAGAGCCAATGACACAGGGTCGTCGTCTCCCCGGTCCCTCAGGGCGGGCCCCCCCCGGGCTCCCTCGGGAGGGCCAGTCCTGGGACATTCTGTCGGCACCCATCCCAAACCCGTGAGGTCTGCAGGCTATCTGCTGACCCTCGCCCTTGTTGGGGAGAAAGCGGGGAGCCTGGGGTGCCAGGGCACAGCCGCCACGTCGACCCTCTCCCACGGGGCCCCAAGCGCTGGCCCGCGTGGAACGGCTCAAACGCTCCCGCTCGGAGGGGGAAGCCGGGGCCGGGAGCCGGCATTGGCCCGTAGCCTGTGGTCCCTGCAGGGCTCTCCCCAGCCTGACGGGGCACGTGCCTCCGTCTCCCACGGCTCTGGAGGGAGGGCCACGGGGCGCCCTCGCCAGACCTGAGGCTCGGCATCTTCCCAGCACAGTTGGGTCGCTCCTCCCAGACCCCATCTGGGGCAGGGAAGCGACTTCGGGGGGCAGGTGTGGACATGGCGGGGGGGCTCACCGCCTGCGCTGTCCCCTTTTCAGATGTCGGGGGCCCCGTGGCTCCAGAGACCGTGTCCCCCGATGACCCAGGAGCTGCTGAGATGCCCCTGGAGCAGCTGCCGGGCACTTTGCGCCCAGCGCTGCCCTCCAGCGAGGACCTGCCCGTCCCCTGGGGGGCCCTGAGTGACCACGAGGACACGGGGGTGCTTGGCGGCACCGGCGTCCAGGAGCGGAAGGTGAGGCTGGGGGCGGTGCCGCCAGGGGACCCGCGGGGCGGGTGCCGCCGGCCTCTCGCTGGGTCGTCCCTGCTGGAAGCCGACGGGCGTTTCTCAGCCGGGCTTAGCCGGGCTTCCAAGGCGAGGACCCCAGCAGACGTCCCCGTGGAGGAAAGGGGAGGCTGGTGCTCCCGCCGTGCACTCGGAGACGCTGCTCCGTGTCTCCGGACTCGTCTCTGAATGAGGGCAGCAGATGAGACGCTGCCTGAAGGGCACCGAGCGGGCAGCTCTGAAGCCGACACCGGGCTTAACACCCCTTTGCCCCATCGCACGTCTCCTGCCCCTTTAAAAAATTGTAAAATACGCTTAACGTGCGACCTGGCACCCTCACCATTTTAAAGCATAAAGGGCTGCGGCGTCGAGCACTTCCACGCTGTGCTCGGCGGGACCTGCCTGTCCCGAAGGGGCGCCGCCTGCCACGGGGCCCCGGCCCCTCTCCCGCGCCGCGCGGTTTGAATTCCACCACTTGAGGGCGACAAAGAGCCACCGCTGGGGTGACCGCGACTGATGTGCGGGGGGGGGGGGGGGGGGGGGGGAAGCAGCCGTTTTCCCAGCGGCGCGCCCGGCAAAGGGAGGGGCCGAGCCCCTTTGCGGCCCTGCCAGAATTTCACCTGAAGGCGATGTCCAATGAGAAAGAGTTCGTTCTTCACCCACGTCGCCCAGGCGAAGGCCTGCACACTCACCGGAGGGGGCTCTCGGGGACCAGCCCTGCAGGCGACAGCAACGTCGCTAGTGGCGAGAAATCTCCGAGGCTACACCCTCGAGCCTGAGCGCACCGGGGCCAAACGCGCCAAGGGGAGCGGGGGGCAGGGGCGGGGCGGCTCGGCCCCCGGGGGTGGAGGGGCGTTCCTGCAGGAGGGCACGAGCCCCAGCCTCCATCTTAACCCGAGACAGAGCCGGCTGCCCCCTGCGACAGGTTGGGGGCGGCCCAGCGAAGCGGGCACACGAGGCCCCTCCCCTCAGGTGCCCGGCGGGAGCTCGTGTCTTTCTCGCCCTTTATCCCAGCGCCAATCGACTCTTCCAGGGCCCGTGCCGGCGAGAGCTCCACCGCGTGCTGGGGAGGCTGGCCCGGGGGCAGCAGGAGGCGGGGGACGGCCCCTACAGGTTTTACCTGCCCAACTGCAGCAAGAATGGATTCTATCACAGCAAACAGGTGCGTGTCCTCCCCAGGGGGGGACGGTCCCGTCCCTGCAAAGCCACAGTTGCCGGGAGCACAGTGCCCAGTCCCAGACACGGGCCTGAAAGCCCCACAGCGGGTCCTGTGAGGCGAGGTCCCGCCCCTGGCTCTAGGAGCAAACAGCCGGGCGTGGGGGTGGGGCGGGACACCGCCCGGGCAGCTGGGGCTGGCAGCCCCCTCTCTGGGTCCGAGCTTCTCGCCTGTCACCTGGCAGGACCCAGCTCTGCTTAGGACATTTAGTATCTGTTTGAGCATCTCTTACTTTTCCCCGCCGTGAAGGGGAAGGGACTCCATGGTGAAACGCGAGAGCCGTTCTCGGCCTGATTGCACAGGAGGTGGGACAAGCCGAGGCTCCATGCGAGGGCCCTTCAGGCCTCCGTGGAGCACAGGGTGTTACGGGGGAAACTGAGGCCTGGGCCGGGCTCTGTGACAAAGACTTTGTGGAGGAACCGGAGAAGCCGCGGGGCGGGGAGCAGACAGCTGTGCACACACCACGCCGTTTCGCACGTGCGTGGGATCCCCAACTCACCGGACACTTACCCCCGGTCTCCGTTTGACAAGGAGAGCCGGGGGGTGTCGGGTTTGCCTCGCGGCTAGTGGGCGGCGCCCGCGGTCTGAGCCCCAGCGCCGGCCCTCCGCGGGGCGCTGGGCGGCGGGGACCTCCGGGTCGCCCGCTTCGCCGGCTGCTCTGACCTTGCACCTCGTCCTTGCAGTGTGAGACGTCGCTGGACGGAGAGGCGGGGCTCTGCTGGTGTGTGGACCCCTGGAGCGGAAGGAGGATCCCGGGGTCTGTGGAGGTCAGAGGGGACCCCAACTGCCAACAGTATTTTCACTGAGAGCAGAGGCGGCAGCGCCGCGCCCTTCACCGGGATATTTAAGTACATAGCGTATTTATACACACTTATCTGCGTATGTGTCTGTATATACAGGGACCACTTTTATACTCCACATACTCCCTGCTACCTAAAGCTGTGGTTTATTTATTCACTGTAAGTTTATTTTTCTACACAGTAACTTGTGCTATATTAATTTATATATCACTGCAACAACTTCTTGCCACGTTGCATGTAAATACTTGTATTTTAGCTCTTTAAAGGTTCGGGCTTCCATTTGTGAAGAACTGGGGACAACGCTGCTTAGAAAATGAAAACTCATGTGTGTGGCCGTGAGTGTTCTGAGCGCCTCCGTGACGCCCTCGGCATCCTACGCCGAGGCTGCTTGGCGCACATTTGCAGGGAAAGGTTGGCTGTGTCATCGCAGCGGGTGGCGATGTTGCTACTTGTGAACCCCTGCATTGGATACATTGTCAAATGTGCTTGCACAGTGTAACCAAATAAACGTCCTACTCAAAACATTGTTCCTGCCGTGGACATTTGTGCGCCCTCCTTTCTGCTCGCAGCTCTGGTCCCCGCTGTCGGGGGTCTGTCTCATCGAGGCCGGCCCTTCAACCCACGCCCCGCCGCCCCCCCGCTGCCCGCGGCGGCCACGCTCCCAGCCTGGCCCCTCCCACCTCTCGCTGCTCTGACCTCTCCGTCCCTCCCACCTGGGGACTGGTCCCTTCCTCCTCCTTCATCCGCCCCCTCACCCCCTGCACCCGCCCGCCCCCTGACAGCGCAGCTCAGTGCTCAGCGCGCACACCGCTGCCGTGCGGACCCAGCTTCGACGCTTTATCGGGGGTTCAGGACTGACTCTAAACACGCGTGACTCCTTGAAACGAAGCACATCCTTCGATGCCCCAAAGCCATGGGGGTCAGAACCCCACCCCGTCCCCTGGGCGCTCCCTCCTCCTCCTGGTTCGTCCCTTCTGCCAGCAGAGGCTGCGGGGAGAGGGCGCCAGCCTGCATGTTGCAGCGTGCGCCCCCCTCTGTGCCTGCCGAGTGGTGACAGGCAGGATGACGGGGACAAAAACCATGGCAGCGAGGGCCTCGGAGATGCGCCTGTGGATGTGCCTGGTCTGTCCGCCTGGTGACGGGCCGAAGCCACCCTGCCCCACCCCCAAACTGCCCCAGCGGAGGCGCGGGCCTGAGTTACTGGGAGGCTCCGCTGGAAGGAGACGGGAGCCGGTTGCAGACGCAGGGAGGCCTCGTCACGGTAAAAACTTTATTCACCGATTATAAATACATGGTGACAAGAATGTTCCAAAAATACTTTTTTTTTCCTGAAAACGATTAAAAAAATAAAGACAAGCTAATAGGTTGGCAGAATGTCTGGGGACCCCTCTGTCCAGAGGAGGGCAGGGTGCGCCCCCTGCCCCCCCCTCCCCGCTCGGGCCCCGCTGCTCCGCACCTGCTCCCGGGCGGGCTCTCATCTGAGGCCCCCTGGCCCTGGCCGCCCCTCCCGGCCGGATAAAATCACCCTCGGTGTTGGTTCCACGCGCCAAGGCCGGCCAAGGGGCCGAACATACGCCTCCTTTGCCTTCAAGGAGCTTATCCTGGAAAATAACCTTGGTCTTGCATCTTTGAGCGGGACACACTTTCTGCGGCCCTCTGAAGCACCGTGCCACTGTTTGGGTACCTCCGAAAGCCAAGGGGCGGGGCTTGTCCCTGCCCCCCCATCCCCTGCCCTGCGGGGCCACCAGCAAAGGCCATGTCCTCAGGAATCTGCCTGATGTACCCACCTCTACAGGGGCCCCGGTTCCTGAGAACATTCTTGGTCATTTTTAAACAATAAGGAAGGCGCCACCTCATCCCCCCTCTTCCCCAAGCAGGACCTCGCTCCCCGAGGGTGTGTCCGGCTCTGAGGACGCCCGAGTGAGGGGCTGCGGTCACGGGCCGGACACGGTGCGCGCTGCTTCGGCGGCAGGGTGCTGAGGTGTGGGGTGGGGGGCGGCCAGCGCGGCCGGAGGCCCCACCGTGCTGGGCTTGCGTTTGTAAGCGGTTTCAAAGGAAGCAACGAGAAAATCCACACGGCTCCATGGGCGGCCAGAAAGTGGGGAGCCACTCAAGGTCACCATGTGGAACCCCGGGCACATCAGACAACTCCTTCTAAACTTTGATTAAAAAAAAATAAACATGGATTCACCACAGAAAGAAATACAAGCCGAGGCTGTGGCCGCTGCGGACTGTGTCCTTGGCAGGTCTCTTGTGCAGAACGGGCGCGTTCGCGCCCCACGCGAGCTGAACAGACAGAAAAGGGGCGGAGTGAGCGATGCCCGGCCGTCGGGCCCCAGGCCCACGCCCCTCCCAGAGCGGGGGGCCTGGGAGGCTCCCCAACGGTGCTCGCTGTCTCCAATGTGCAAGGAAAGGGGATGTCACTGAGAGCCAACTCTTCTGTGTGCTTCCATTTGCCTCGAGGAGATGAAAGAAACACATTTATCCCTTTTTCCCACCCAAAACTCTCTCCATTATTAAATGAGAATAGTGAATATGAGGGCATTCCTCAAAATGATGGTTTAACATTTCGCTGTTTGTATTAGATTTAAATAAACTTTATTAACATTCTGTTAACCACCGATGAGCAGATTTTCCATGATGCATTTTACAGGGGGAAAAGAATAGACACATCTCTAACGTGGAAACGTGTTCTCGAACAGGTGCTTTGGGTTACAAACGTTTACCTGTGAAGGTAAAGGAACCCTCAGGCTTGTCGGGAAAAGCTTAACAGCGAGAACCTCACACTGTGTACGAGGAGCGTCTTGAACGAGGCAGGGGGGCCGCAGACCCGTCCCGCTCCGGTTCAGTTGGGGGGGGCCCTCGCTCCCCTCAGGGCCTGCCCCGTGCCTGCCTCCTGCCCGCAGCCCCGGCCCTTCGGAGCCCCAGCCCCCGCCCCCGGCCCCTGCTTACGCGGCCACGTCACTTGCTCTCCACGCTGTCACACTGCACGTCCCCTTTGCCCTTCACGCCGTAGCCCGGGAGGGGCTGCCCGTACTTGTCCACGCACCAGCAGAAGCCGCGCTTCCTGCCTTTGGACGGGCGGCACTGCGGGGGGAGCAGAGAGGGTGGGCGTGAGCCCCGGGGGCTCCCACGGGGGTCCTGGCGCCCGGCGCAGGGACAGGTGCCGTGGCCAAGCGCGGGGAGGGGGCCGAGCGCAGGGGCGCGCTTGTGGAGCGGGGGGCGCTGTGCCCCCCGCAGGCCTTGGGCAGCCGGGGGCCTGTCGGCCCTGCAGGCGTGTGTGCTGGCGGGGGCCGGTGTCCCCAGTGCCCTGAGCTCGTCCCGCCTGCCTTTCCGAGCTCAGCCGCCGGGTTCTCCGTGTGACTCCTCGGCAGAGTGACGGAGAGAAAACAGGTGCGACCAGGAGGCCAGGCCCCGGCCCGGTGAGGTCCTGCCTCTGAGGGAGGCCGCCGCCACCCCCTGCTGGTCTGTGGCTAGCTCTGCAGGCACCGGGGCAGAGTGGTCCAATCAGAGAGCAGACCCTCCTCGCTGTGACGGGGGAGGGGCCCTGGCTCTGGCTTAAAACACCTCCCCCTGCAACTCATCACGACAGGGAGGGCCTGGGGGGGGCGGGGCAGGGCGTCTCAGGGCGGCTGTGCCGGGGCCCCCACGCCGCCCACCACGCGGTGCTGGGAAGCTGTTCCTGGGCCTGTGTCCCTTCCTGGCTGACAGAGGGGCGCACGGCGCTGCCTGGGGGCGGTGGCCGGCTGGCCTTGCAGCCACGGGCTCACCTGCTTCTTCTTGTAGAAGCCCTTCTTGTCGCAGTTGGGGATGTGGACGCCCCTGGGGCTCAGCATGTTCAGGAACTTGAGGTGCTTCAGCGTGTCTTCCATCTCCCGGCGGCAGGGCCCCTGCGGGAGGTGCGGCTCACGCGGGGGCTCGGCCGCCCGGTAAAGCCCGTCCGCCCCGCGCCCTCCCTGCGGGACCTTCCCGGTCCAGATGCCCTTCAAGCATCTGCTGCTGGAGTCAGCTGTCCCCGCCCCCACGAGGGCGCCAGCCGTGGCCCCAGCTCTTGTATGTTCCTGGACAAGACCAGGACCCGGGGCAGAGCCCCCCAAGGCCAGGACGCTCAGAGGCTGGGTGGGCAGAGCGGAGCCAGTTCATGTGAACGTTTCTCTTTAGCTTGGAGGCCTGTGCGCTGACCACACCCTTTACCAGCTGTGTGGAGCCCAGGCCCCCGTGGGACCCCCCGGGGAAGGGGCACTGTCTGGTCCCCGTCCTGTGCATGAGGAGGGCTGGCCGCTGCCTCCGCACATCAGACAGGGCACATCCACGGGCTCCTGAGTGAGGGGTAACCCCGGGGCGCCCGGGCCCCCCGCCCGTCCCAGGGGGACAGAGGCCGGTTCTCACGTATTCTGTCTCCCGCTTGGACTCGGAGGAGAAGTTCTGGGTATCTGTGTTCTGGGCCTCGTAGTCGACCTTGTAGCGCTGGCTGTCTTTGGCGTGCCCTTTCCGGATGACGTCCATCTTGGTGTGGCCGGTGTGGAACTTGGGGTCGGGGGCCCGGTGTGTGCCGGGGAGCGCCGGGCTGCCCGCAGCTCCGGTGCCGTGGTCTTCCTCTGACTCACTGCCGTTTCCTGGGAAGACACCGCCGCGTTACCGGCTGCCCTCTCAAAATCTAATGCTTAAGCCAAGTCACATCTCCATGGAAACAGTATTCCACAATTCCAAGTACACGCAAGAACATGCCTTGATAAAGTAGCACCTGTCCCAGAGTAGCAGGGGCAGTGGCTTTACCTCGAGAAGCATCTTTTAAAATGAACTCTCAGATAAGCTTTGACGAAGTGGGCGCCTCTGGGGCGGGCGGTGTCCCCTTCTCCGCCAGGCGGGGGCAGAGCGGAGCCGGATGCGGCCCAGCTGCCCAGCGTCCGCCGTCAGCCTTACTGGGCGAGGCGGCCCACGGGGATGGGGGCTCTGACCCCCACACCCGCGCCGCCGCGGGTGCTGCCAGGCAACTCGAATCCTCCGAGCTCTGCCGACCTCCCCACGCGGGAGGCGGGCCTGCCGGTGTCCCCGGTCCCGCTGCCCCGTCCCTAACTCACTGTTACCCAGAGGCGCTGCTCAGACCCTGCGGGCTGGGGCGCCCCGCTGGGCGAGTCCTCTCTCCCCACCGGCGTGTGGGGACGGGTCGCGGCTCTGCGATGGCCCACACTCCCGAGGGCCACCCCCTGCAGGTCCCTCTCTGTCACAACAGGGTGACTGAGGGACAGCTCGGGCGACAGCGTGTGGGCGCGTGTGGCCAGGGCCCTGGCTGCTCCTCCGCCAGGGTGAACCGGGGACGGCTGTGGGCCCGTGGTCCTGGGCGGGGGCCCGGTCTGCACTACCAGGAGCGGCCCTGCGGTCACTGCGCTCCGACCGCCGCGTCCCCGCGCCCCTCGGTCCCGCCCCTGCTCTGCCTGGGCTCCCGGGGCAGCGCCCGGGCGGGAACGCGCCCCCAGGGCTGAGCGGAGCAGGGGGCCGGTGCGCCCGACCGCAGGGCGCCCTCGCGGTGGTCACGGGGGCCTGGGGACGTCCCTCCGCTTTGGGTCTCCCCGTCCTCACCCACCAGGTGGCCCCGCGAGGGGAGGACGTGCACCGTCCGGGGGGGCCTGGCCCAGGGGAGGCGCAGCGCCCCCGGAACGGGCTCTTCACTGGTAGGACTTGGTTTCAGTTTCCTGTAATCGCCGTTTCTTTTTCTTTCCCAGGGAAGTGCTGGGGACAAGGGGATGCTAAGCATATGCCAACAGGCACATTCGCATCTCCTTCCGAGCGCTCCGCGGCCTGTCTCGGACTTTCCCCGTTTCTTTCCAGTTGCCCAGGGCTCGGTGTGGAGAGGGGACCCTTCCCTCCAAGCAGCAGACCATCTTACCTTTTCCCGGGCGCTTACATCTACCACCCCCCGGCCAACGTGGATTTTAGGGTCACTCTCTCTTGATAATTTTGTCAATAAACCAAGTGCACCCACAGAGTAATTACCATGCCCAACAGAGCGACTGAAAAAGACCGTATCGGCGGGGGCTTCTCGCACCCTTTTGAGCGTCCACAGCCGCGCCGGGCGCACGGCGGCGCTGCTCTGCAGGGAGGCAAGCACCCCCGGCGGCTTCCGCGGCCTGACTTACGGGTGGGGGCCGGTAGCGTCTCAGGCAGCTGGGACTTTGTCTTTCTAACAACCCCGGGACCGCGGTTCTCATGGAGAAACGCAGGCGCTGCCCGGTAAGGACACACCTCCAGCCCCCTGCCCCGCGGAACGCCCTGCCGCCGCCCGGCGAGGCTCGCCGCTCCGCCCAGCTGGAGGCGGGTGGAGGCGCGGAGCTCTCCCAGCCTTCGGCGCGGGGCCTCCACTCAGGCCACTGAGTGCGGCTGGCTGAGCCCGCTGGAGATCTGGAGGTCCAGGCGCCGACTCCATTCCACTTCGCCTCTTAGGGCCGCATGCGCCGCGCTCCACCCAGGGCGGGCGGCTTCCTCCTCCGGCTCCTGAGCCGGGCTCACGGATTCCGCTTCAGAGGAAGGAAGCGAAGAGCGCGCGGCGTAATCCACCTGCCTCCCTTTCCCCAAGTCCGCGAGCCGCAGCGCCTGCCCGCGGCCCCGCTCCGGGCGCCTGTCCCAAGGCCACGCAGGCAGCGGAGGCGGGGAGGGGGGAGGAGGCGGATGACTGGGGCTCAGCACCCCCACCCTCGCCTCTGGGGGGACCTTGGAGAGCCGCTTCTCTCCGAAGGTCAGGTTGTCCAACCGCAAAGACACTCGTACTCGATTCCCACTTGACTCGCTCTGGGACGCCCCGGGAGGGTGCACTGATCGCAAACCGCGCCTGTGCAAATGCTTCTGTTTTTAAACTCAGGTTCCATTTCGTACAACGGGTCAGTCCACCTTCCGCGTCCAGATCCGACTCTGCCGCCCCCCTGCACCCCCGTCCGCGGCGTCCTCCGCGTGGACACGCTCGGTCCTAGCGTGCGGGAAGCGAAGCCGTGGTCCGGATCCGGCAGCGGAGTCCACGCCCACATCCCCGCGCCGCGCCAACTCAACGGGCGGGGGTTTCCTCCCGCCAGGACCCTCGTGTTGACCATCAACCTCGGTATCCGCTCCTTCCCTCCCCACGAAATCTTTGACGCGTTTTCACCGACAGCGCTTTGCAATTTACAAGCACTGCGCACCCGAGAATGGAGAGACTGCGCAGGGTCCCTCCCGCGAGCGCCCTCGCCTTGTGAGGCTTCGACCTCGCCGCGTTCAGCCCTTGGGGCGGGGGGCGGGGGGGTGGGGAGCGCAGCAAAGTCTTCGCCTTGGCACTGCCCAGACCTGATCCGCGGCCGAGGGCGCCGCCCCCTGGGCGCTGCGGCGACGCACCTGGCACAGGTGGCTCACCTGGCGCGGGTAGTAGGTAGGCGCTCAGGCGGCCTGTGGCGCTGGCGTTGGTGCAGACCCCGCGGCCGTCCAGCAGCGCCAGCAGCGGACGCGGCTCGCCGGGCTGCGGGTGGCAGCGGAGGCCGGCTCCGCAGCGCTCGGTGTAGACACCGCACGGCTGGCCCTCCCGCAGAGCGCACGTCAGACAGCAGCCGCAGCCCGGCTCCCGCACCAGCTCGGCGCACTCTGCCGAGGTCGGCGGGGGCGCGCACTGGGCCAGCGCGCGAGCGTCGCAAGGCTCGCAGCGCACCACGGGGCCGGAGCCCACGTTGCCTGCACCCGCCTGCGCCGCGGGCGGCCCTCCGAGCAGCGCCAGCGCCGTCAGCGTCGCGGCCAAGACCGCGGGGCGCAGCAGCTGCATGGTGACTACTGCAGGGGTCCGCTGCTCAGCCGGCCCGGGCTCAGGCGGACGGGGTGGGAGCGTGCGGCACGAGGCTGGAGCGGAGCAGGGAGCGGAGCAGGCGGCGGTCTGTCCTAAACACCGCCCCGCCGGGTTCGCATCTGGGCGGCTCGGGCGCGCCGGCGGCTATATAGAAGCCGGAGTGGTCGAGGACACGCCCCGGAACGGCGCGCCGGGGGTGGGGGGAGACAAGGCCGGCGGGCGCTCACGAGGCTCTGGGGTCGTGTATCTGGCCCGGGGGTGCGCAGTGCGCGGCTACCCGAGCACCTGCTGGCCGAGTGCGCGCCGGGCCTGCCGCCACCCTGCGGTCTCCAGGAGCTCGGCGCAGCTGCCCCTACTAATCCTGGAGCCCCAGCCCCCTCAGCGCCTCCACCCGCCCCGGGCCAGCCGCGTCTCCACCGCCCTTCTTGGTCTTTGTCCCGGGTCAGGTCGCCCGCAACGAACCGCTGTGGAGGAATCTGGCGCGCCCCACCTCTTGTCCCCGTGCACTTTGCAAACCTTCCAAAATTCAGCCCCTGGGGTCAGGGACTTCCTGGCACAATTTTGAACGGGGAGCCGAAGGCCCGGAGTTTCCTTAGCGCCCGCTGGGCCACTCGCACCCCCCCCCCAACCTGGACCCACAAATGTGTATCTGCAGGCGCGCAGGTGGCCTCCTCAGAGCCAAGGTCGCTTCTCAAAGCGGTGAAGGCTCGCACTCGCCGTCCGCCGGCCGGTGTCCCGCGGGCCAAGCGCGCCAGCGCGGGGCGGACCGAGCAGCGCTTGCCCAGGGCTCGGGCGGCCTCGGGCACCCTCCCTGACGGCGGCTTCAGGCAGGGCTGCTCTCCTCGGCAAAAGCATAACGCGAACAGGAAAGCGGGCGCTGCTGGAGGGTGATAATGAACAACCACACCGTCCTTAAAATCGGTGGTTTCCATTAACGTTCTCCGCGACCACTGAGTGCCCCTGCGCTAGGCTCTCTCCGGTGCGTTGAGGCGGAGACTTCGGGCTTCCTAGTCCCGGTGACCTAATCGCTGCGCTCGGGGCAAGTCGCGGCGCATTGCGCCCCGAGGTGGGGCGCGTTCAAGTCCTCGTGCTGCGTGCGGGGCTTGGCCTTGGCCAGCGCCCCTTCTCCAGGTGACCGACAGAGGACGCTCGCGGTCCAGGATCGAGTTGGGAATTGCACTTCCCGAGCCCCCAGACCCGCAAGACGCCCCGGGAACGGACTTGCCCGCACGCCGCTGAAACTGGGCGCTTGCCCTGGGCGGTGCACAGGTGTCTTGGAGGAATCGTTTGCCATTCGCGGCAGAAACAGCACATCAGGGCCCCTCCACCCCGCGAGCCCACTCGCAGCCGCGGGTGCAGCCGACGTTCAGCTTCGTCGCCGCCTCTCCTGTATGTGCGCGCCGCGCCCCCCTCCTCCCCGCCCTTAGAATGGGGAGAACAGTGTTTTCACAGAAAACAAACAATGCGCACAACAATAGTCATAACGGAGGCTCCGCAAGGAATAAGACAGCGGAGACAGAGGGGGCCGCTCGCCGTGCCGCAGAGCGCGGCCCAGCCGCCGCGGGACCCCCGCGCAGGGCGCGGCGCGCCGGTTCTCCCGGCTGCGCCGCGGCCGCCCTGGCTGCCCGCCTCTGCCCTCACGCTCCTTGGAGCTGGGTGTTACCCGCTTTGACAGCCAAGAATAGGGTCTCCGATTTCATTGGGAAATTAAAGGAAACGAGAAATCCCCCAGGGTCACGTTTACTCCTGAAATAACCGCGCGGACTTGAGTCCGAAATCAGAGCCGGGATGTCTCGAAAGAACCTCGAGGTCGCAGGCCCGCCTCTGGGCGGTACAGGGTTGGTTCCACGCGGGCCGGGCCGGTTGCTGGTCAGCGCGGGCCCTTTTCCTGAAGCGGTCATCTGAGCAGCGGACAGAGGAACGGGGAAGAAGGTTCAAGTCCTGCCCCTGGGCCCCGCTGCGCAGCCCCCAGCCCGAGCCGGGCGATGGGAGGAGAGGCGCGAGCTGCGCTCCAGTCCCCAGGGGGCGCCCTCGAGCCAGGTCGCCCGAGACCCGGGGAAGCGGCGGGTTACATTGTAACGCTCAAGAATATTCCATAGCAGTGTGTTGTATAGACTGCCATCGCCTTTTTGGGCGAAATCTTGCAACAGCGAAGTAACTCTGGGGCAGTGTTGGGGAGAGAATCGTGTTTCAATATTTAGTCATTTTTATGGGACAAAACTGCTGGGAAAGAGACACAGGATGCAGTGGTTGCAGGAGGGACCAGGATGGGAGAAACTAAGCTGGTGAGAAGCTCGTCCCCTGCCAGCCTTTTGATTCACTGGTGTCCGTGGGCGGCCGCACAGACCGGAGCGGGAAGGGAGTTTCCCCGTGGCGCAGGCACTCGGTGCACAGCTGCTCAGTCACTGTGAGGAGACTCGCAGAGTAAGTGCCGCTCACCGGCTCCGCGATGCTGAGGGAATGTTGGAGCGGCTGCCTCTCTTCCTGCTGCAGAAAACGCCAGCTTTTTCCGAAATGGACGCTAGCAACCTCCCCAAACCCTCCCTTGCAAGAAGCCCGCTCTTCTCCAGAACACTTGCCGACAAGCCGGTGTCACAAACCATAAAAATGTGCTCAGCGCCCGGGAACTTTGAAAGTCCAGCATGCTGAGAAATAGCGCAACCCAGTAAGCGAATCTTAAAAAAACGCTTTTCTTAGCTTCTTGAGTCATGGAGTTCAACTCAGGATATGGAACAGCCAAAATTAAAATCTGTTATTTAATATTATTTAACAACAAAAAAATCTGCCCTCCCCATTAAGTGATGATTTGAGTATTCGTTCTCTTCAAAGAGCTTTCTGCTTTCAGGAGAAGCAACAGACAAACCCAGGGCCGCCTTCATTACGTGGCTATTTTGCTTCACGTCCGAACCCTGGGCCCACCTGCTCCCCCCGCCCCAGCGCCTCCGTCCCTGGGGGCGCTGCTCCAGCACCGCGGCCTGTGGCCTCTCAGGAGCCCTGGGGCAGGGCCGGAGTGGGGCTCTGCTGATACCCCCCGGAACCAGGACCCCTCGCGGCCTGGGAGGGGCTGCCGCCTCTCAGTCGCTTCCCAGGGCCGGGGAGGCTGTCCCAGGTTCCGAGGGCGTGTGAGGCCTCCCGCCTTCCTCCTTTCAGGTGACGGACCTGCTTCCTTGCAGCGTGGCAGGCGCCCCATCCCTGTGCCACCGAGACCCGGGAGGCTGGCGGCTTTGGTGGCTCTTCTTGTCCGGACCCCAGAGGACCCTGCTGTTCCCTACGAGCTGCGGCAGCCAAGTCATACCCGCCTTGGGCTCGACACCCACCCTCCACTTCCCTCCCCCCTCAGAAAACAGGGGGCTGCGTTCAGGGCAGACATTAAGGGTACAGCCCCAGGAGAGGGCGGGTCCTGAAAATTAAGTCTGTGTATGTGTCCACTCTTCCTGGCTCCGTGGAGACCGCCCTGGTTGGGTTTGAGGAGTCCCGGGCCTCCGCGGCCGGCCACGCTGTCCTCGGGCCCAGGGCCCATGTCCGTCCAAGGAGAGCGGCCCCGGACACAGGAGCGCGTCCCCTGGAGCCTGGGAGGACGCCAGGGCAGGAGCCAGCCGGACGCCGTCTGGAGAGGGGCGGGCAGAGCCCGGCCCCGGGAGCCCGCTGCTCCAGGTCCGCAGCCCAGCGCCCGCGCGGCTCCGCGTGGCTTCTTGCGCGGCGCCGGCCGGAGCCGCGGCTGTGCTCTGGGGTGGCCGTGCCGGGTCCTGCTGCCCCGGCAGAGAGCACAGGGCAGCGCGCTCGCCTGCCGGGCCCCCGTGGGCTGGCGGTGACAGGGACCAGGGTGAGGTGTTTCCTGAAGTCCGGTCAAGGAGGACAGGTGGGTCCTCAAGAAAGGGGAGAACCTGCGCCGAGCCGCCCCTGGGGCCCCTCCGCGCCCAGGGTGCCCGCGCCCGTCCCCGTTGTGCGCCGTGTTCGCCTCAGTCCCCGGGGACGGTCACCAAGGCCCAGGGGCGTCAGGACCTCTCGGGAGAGAAGACCTGGCTGTTCAGCTCCTGGCCTCACTGTCGGCTCTGGGCCAAGTGTGTGTGGGTGCAGACGGTGCTCTCTCAGGGCTGGGGGGCGCGCAGAGCTGTAGGCGGCCCCCAGGGACCTCCCGCAGGTTGGGGCCAGGGCCCCCCCCCCCACTGGGGGCCGTGGTGCACGTGGGCTCACTGGCGGGGTCACAGGCTGACTGGGCGCGTGGGTAGACCTGCGGTTTCAGTGTTGTGCTGAGGCTCAGGAACGCGGTCGGAGGGAGTCTTCCGTGGACCAATGGCGAGGAAGGGCGGGGGCCTTCTGAGGGGCGCGGGCCCCGCTCTGCGCTGCTCGGGCCCTCGCTGCGCCGGGGGACGCCCGGCTGCTCGGGGGGCCGGGCACCTGCCTTGCTCAGTCCACTGATTCTGGTGCCTGTCTCTTCCGGAAACGCCCTCCCGGGCGCCCTGGGAAAACGCCCCCGGCGACCGAGGCGCCCCCAGGCCCAGGGCAGTTGACACAGAAAACCCACGGGCCTATAAACTGATCAGTAATCTCATCTTAGACCAAGACGAGGAGGCGACTTGGACTTGGGTGGCACTTTGCAATAGTCACAGGCCGCAGCGCGGGGAGGGCCCGGGGACCGTACCAGGCAAGGAAACGGGGTCCAGTGAGGGGGGCGGGCCCTTCCCGGTTGGACAGCCCGCCCCCCGGGGCGGGGCCTCGACGGCACGAGCCCCGCCCTCCCCGTTCCCTCTGCAGGAAGCGCCGAGGCTTGTCCCGTGTCCTGGGAACACACGCTGGGGAACCCGGTCTCGCCTGAAGGGGTGGGGGGCCCGCAGGGATGGAGTCGCGCGCCCCGCCTTCGCTCCACGCCCGGCGGGCGCCGGGGCTCCCGGGACCGCGGGGCCGCAGCCTTTCGCCGCGTCACTGCCCGAAACTCTGTTTTCCTTAAACGCAATTTTAAAATCATTTCTCTTCTGTTTTAAGGTCACAAGGTACAGACAGAGCTTGAGCGTCTCTTGGCAGATGCCCTTCTCCTGTCGCGACTGTTCGAGATTATCTAGTTATCTAATTGGATAAGCATGGGAAACACGTCCTTGAAGACCAAATGTG